CAGCCTTACCCAGTATGCCCGTCCATGATTTAATAATACAAGGTTGGGTAACCTGGCAGTTGTCTCGCTCCCGCATTCTGCCTTAGCCTGTGTTGCCTTCTTTTTTGAATTGTAGAAACTACTACTAAAATACAAGGAGAAATATTGTCTTCGTATAAAAAGTTCAACAGGCAACACTGCCGATATTTTCATCGATTGTTTCGTGGAAATTCATTTTCTTATTGGGCAAATTCAAGTAAGTATGGCAAAAAAATCAAAAATAATGGAAATATTTTGAATTACAACAATAATTTACATATTTATTTGCAGGGTATCGGAGTTATTCATAATTTGTATTCAAAGAGTAGCGTTTTACAACAAGTGCAGCCGTTGCAAGTAAGTTTTGCCGGCTAGGATCCCTGTGTGTCCGTCCACGTATGGCTGGTGCAGAAAATACAAATATTAATAAATATATTCTCTTGTGAAGGTCAGGATCACTTGGGTGTCCGTCCACGTTTGCTGGTGCATGTATTTTTACCACTGCAGCGTTTTGGTTGGTCAAGTGCAGCCTTTGCATATTTACAAGTAAGTATACCACTCCATAAAAGCGAAAGTGGAAATATTAATAAAGATATTTTCTTGTGCTCATTGGGACTGATTGCAGAAAAAAGTCCACAACATTACAAAAATTAACATTTTTAAAAAACGAAATGTAATTAAATTGCGATATTGAAGACATATTTTTAAAGTTTAACCGATATAATGATTAACAAGACTGATTAAAGAAAAAAGTAAAAAACATTCCGCAAAAATTAGATTTTTAAATAACCAAATGTAATTAAATTGCGATATTGAATATATGTATTTTAAATGTAACCAATATAATGATTAGCAAGACTGATTGGAGGAAAAAGTAGAAAACATTACTAAAAAATTTAAATAAAAAAAAAACCAAATGTAATTCTATTTAAGATATTGAACATGTTATCTTTAAACGCAACAAATATAATAATTTTTAAAAGATTAATTTATATGCAGTAAATCAATTGCATCTTTACTATTTGTATAATTCTTCATATAGTCCCTTTGAATAAAGGATTTGTTTGAATTCCATTAATTTTGTTTAATATATACTGGAATTTCAATGAAACCATGGTTTATTTTGAATATTTGGGAACATTTCTTCAAAGATTTCAAAGATTTTTCTTTGGCAAGTATTTTATGTTAATATCCATTTATTTCAATTTTAATATTTATGTGGCCATAAAAAGTTAATTTATTGTCTATTGTGTAGATCAGTGGAATCTTCTTTATATATTTAATTTAATTTGTATACAAAAACGCATTTCAGCACTACCAGACTACTTACTTTTCCTACTACCTTTACACAAAAGGAGATAAAATTAGGGGTATTCTCTGAGTCTTGCAAAGCCCTTGCATGGTGCACAGATTGCACGGATTGCACGGTAAAAACCGGTTTTCGTATGGGACAGCTTTGCAAACCGTGCAATCCGTGCACCGTGCAAGGGCTTTGCAAGACTCAGAGAATACCCCTATTGTTACCCGCTTCTCTTTCCTTCTCAAATGCAACCTTACAAGGCAGTCGATTGACACAAATGTCAATATTTATCCAACCTTGTATTATTGAATCATGCGCCCGTCGTCCATCTTCGATCCGTCGGTGTATTACACTAGGGACCTTTCGCCAGAGAAAATTTTAGAAAATCTTATAAATTTAGCTGAAATAGAAAAATTCATGCATGTTCTGCCGCAAGCAGAGAAATGGAACGCAGAATACCAAAGTTGCCAAACGGAGAAAATTTCGATTCGAGTCGAAATGCAGAATAGGGGTGATTGCATTTTCTGCATTTGATCACTTATCAGTGCTGTTGACAACAGTGTTCAGTGATTCAAAAATTGCATCAAAATTGCACACGAATGATATGTATAAATAACGCGTAAGTAGATGCAATATATGTTTTAAAGTGATATTTTCATATTAATAATATTACATGTAAATTGAATTGTTATTGTTATTGGCTGAGTCTTGAAAATGCGGTTAATGATCGTATAAAAAATAAAACGCGGAGAAAAATTTATATGCCATTTTTAAAAACTGGGTTATATAAAAAGGGGCAAGAAACGGGAAAATCTAAAATGACAAACGGGAAAAAAACATAGAATTGCATGGACAAAAAGGGAATAGGCTCGCCCAAAACCTGGTTCACTGGTTCTGACTTCCATTTTTATTTTATTTTTTTTTGTTCTGACGCCAGCACGTCTCTGCCACTGCAAGCATCCACGCTGTCAAAAGCTGATCAGTTTGTTATTTCTCTTTTCATTTTCGTTTTTAATTTGGATTTTGCTTTTCACTATGGTAAGTTTCGTCGAAGAGTGGTGGAATTGAAAAACTTTGGCGTGGTGGCAGCCGGCATTTCGTCGACGAGTGGTATATTTCCTCGGACAACTCAAAATTTCTGAAGAACAAAAACGGTCGCTGGGAATGCGCCGTCTCATTTATATACGTTCTCTGCTTAAATCTACGAACGCGTAATAGCGACATCTGTCATACCAACGCGATAGATGAATTAACAAAACAGATGCCGCGCTATGCAGCAAAGGTTTGTTCCTTTGTTTTACGATATTAGACTAACGATTTTAGATTAACCCTTAGATACGCAACGAAGCCTGTCAGCCTGTCGGCCGCTCAAATCTGCAAAAAAAATATATTTGGCCTCTGTGATATGTAATAAAAAATAGCCTTTAAACTCAATTTAGTCTAATGTAATTGGTTCAACTTACCAAAAACAAAAAAAAAAACATTTTTGTCACAAACATTTGATGAAGCAACAACACAACTTCCCGGAGAATCATACTCGAAAAATGCCATAAACTTACTCAACGAAATTGAGACTCCTACTATTATTGCAAAAAAAAGGGGAAACATTAACACTTTTTGTTATACATTTTCTACAATCTTTTTTAGACACCTACACGAATTTAACGGCATCCTAAATCAAAAACAGTCACACTTAAAATTTTTCAAAAACTGGAAAAACACTTTTGAGACTTCAGCATTTTTTTGCTTCACCTGAACATTTGGGATATTTTGTATTGTCACTGTTTTTGATTTAGGGTGCGATATAAATGTAGTCATGTGAAAAATAATAGCGACACGACATTATCACCAGTTTTAGCTACATATTTTTCTTTTGTTTGTTTGATGTTTTTTATTTTTAACAAAAAAAAGATCGAATTTCAAACTATGTAGAAAAAATTTAGAAATTAAACAAAATTTTACAAGAGATTTTTTAGTCAATTATTTTTAGAAAAATTCCAATTATGCAGTTTTGTAGGCCATTAAATTCCAGCTTAAGAAAGTGCCAGTTTCAAGTGGCTAAGAATTCGCCTTGATTTTTTTGCAGATGGTATTTTCTTCTATACAAAAAAAAAAAAATGTCGAACATAATTTGCATGAAAAAGAAAGGTCAGTGACTTAATTGGTTTTCGCATGCACTTGGTGGTCAATTATATTAAAAAAAAACATGTTTGTCGACTCAATCGTACGGAAAGTGTCCCAAAAGAACAAAAAAAAAATCGTTCGCTCCTTCGACATAAATCTCATTTACTTCAATAGTGTCATAACTCAAAACAGCTAAGCTCGAGAAAACGGCATTAAAGTTTTTGAAATTACATATCCTCCCATAGTAAAAATGAATAATTTTTTTTTCTTGTGAGATACTGGTAATTGATACAGCTGTGGAGCTTCTACTGTATTATATTTTACTTTAAAAAACTAACAATTACAAATTGGAAAATGTTTTAATTCGTTTTTTGTTAAGAAAAAATATTTTTTCAGTTGGTTGAAATTAATTGAATATACATAACGTTAAAATATTAAAAAGTATTTTATTCAACTACAACACAGCTATGAAATTTTTACACTACATAAAAGAAGGGGTAGCGGTAATCTGCATGCTCAACTCAAACTTTAAATTTTTTGGATTGTGACACTATTGAAGTAAATGAGCTATATATGTATGAGTTTTCATTATGATTTTTATAACGAAGGTACTATCGTAGCCGAGGAAGTTATTGATGGATTCATTAAGCATTCAGTCATACTAATAGAAAAACTTACAACTGCTGTGTCACTTCCATGAGCTAAAGCTTACGAATAGCGTTTAGGCCTTCAACCTAAAGATTTGCATTCTTTTGTGACCCGCCCTAATATTGGCATATATACGTATGCACACACATATACATATGCACACGTACTATCATTAATTCGCGCCGTTAACTGACGGCTCCCGCCGGATAATAACCCTTCGTTAAGTTTCCCCTTAATATCGGTTATTGTCCGGTGGTTCGATTTGAAAATCCCGCAAATTCTTCATGTCTCTTCGGTTTAGCAGATCAACGCGCGCACAGCAGCTACCAGGCCATTCCCGTCCAAAGGTATTCAAATATTTTGTTATTCCACATTATATATGTATATACATATATCTATATTGAAATAAATCGACTCTTTACTGAATTTATCATTAACATCGAAATATCTTGGTTCTATTCAAGAATAGAAGAACACGTGCCATTTTATCATAAAATATTTAGCTGGCCAACCGCAAATAAATAATCCCTATAAAGATTATTTTACATTTTAATCTCTATAAACTCAAGTACTATATTCAGCTCAAAAAAATTCTATGCACCGCGTTTTTTTTTAACTCCAGAGTTTTATTGATTCCTGTACAATTCTAATTGTTTGACTTATGCGGTTTTTTAAATTACCGATTAAATTTTTGGCTAAACCGTACAAATTCTTATTGAAACACATCTTTTTATTCTTGGGTTTGGTAGATATTATCCATGGAACAGAAATTCTACCGCCTACATCTCTGGTATCCAAGTAAATGAATGCCAACAGTGCCATTTATCCTTTGCGGCTAAAGGAGAAATTAAAACCATTTACGTTTGTATCTTCCATGTAAAATATATATTTTTTTATTGATTTTTAAATGTTTTTTTTTTGTTTTGCCCATAGAAGTATAAATACGTTAGAATTCTTCAGAAATATTGTGAAATATGCAATGCTATTATTTTATGAAGCGAACCTTTTACGAAATGTTCGCTTTATTCAGCATTTATTGTACGCTAAGAATATGTAAGTAAGTATACGTTGAATAGAAAATTATCAATTACTATAGAACCATAATTCAAGTAACTAAATTTAAGATAATTACTAAGAATAAGTTTTTTTGTTATTTTTGTTGTTTTGAATTAGAATTAACTCTTTTTTAAAATTGAGCTTTCAACACAATTACGATGCAAAATAACATATATGCCAGTATGTTGTGTGTAACCAACACACATATGTATGTATGTATATAAAAGTGCAAATCAACTACTAACCTAAAACGAGTTTCGGTTGCTGCACCTATTAATATAATAGAAAAGGAATTTTAGCGATTACTGCAAAAAAACAAAAACAGCTTGAATTTGTGGGCATTGGGCGTCCAAAGTAAAATGTCCGACATCGACGGATCGGCAATTCAAAATATTTATGTATGTATGTATGTAGTTATATAGCTTCCATGCCAGATGGACGGAGTCCCATTCATAGCTTTCTGCTGTCAATTTCAATCATTTCATAAGGAACATTTATTGGATGAACATTTTTCAACCATTTTGTTGGCGTTGTATTTCAGGCACTTTAGTGTTTTCGAAACAAAAAAGTCGCTGCTGTATATATAAAATATTATCAAATCTGTAATTTTCAGAGATTTATTTATTATCCAACTGAATACAAGATATCATTTTGGCTCTCTCGCTATACTTTTGTCGCATTGCTTCGTATCAAAAGATATTGCGGAGCTTGTTTCTAGGGAAATTGCGTGTGTTCTTTCGTAGTAATCGTTATTGCAATAATTCGAACAACTTTCATTCCTATTCCTGTATTTGCTACATCAACAACTAATCCCTTGTTGATATTTTCTGTTATCGGTAGTACTTGCAACTATATAAGTATACTCATTCACCAATGTTCGATAGAACTCAAGGTCCATATAATTATGCCGGGCGTATGTGCCACTACTTTTCGCAGTCGCAATACATAGCTTAGAGTGATTGGTGTTGGTGCTATTTTGTACCGTAATCCGTAATTGCGAATCATTGGTTACATTTTGTTTTTGTAATGTACCGTTATCCAATGCATTTTTTGCAGTTTCCTTTTCTATTTAACGAATGAATACCTTTACGATCTAAATAAATAAAATGCCATCCCCATAAAAATAAATGTTTTGTCATCGCTTTTAGTTTGCCTATCTTTCAACAACTATGCGATGCACCTCTGTTGACAGCGCGAAGTTTAACTCCAAAGGAGAAGTTGATTAGGCTTTTATCCATGATATGTTAAAATACTGCGCTTCACGGGCATCTGCTTCAGCGATTCCTTAAGTCCTTAACTTGCGCCTCTGATGCGTGTATTAGGACATGCAAACATATTAATCGGCTATCAGTTAGTTACATTAATTCCTACACTCCCCCTAAAAGCAACCATATTGGCAACCGCGCGTCTTCGATACACGTTCGCAACGTAGAGCTCTTACTTATAAATGCATATTTGCAGTTTATCTGGTGGTTGATTTGCTTGACGCGAACTTTGCGTTACCACGGTGTGTGTCTGCACTGCTGGCGGCGCATGCGGAAGCATTTGAGGTGCTGCTAGCAGTCGATTCAAATTGGTGGCGGACCACGAATATAACGGAGTTGAGGCGTGAAACTCATTGACAGGTTGTTGAGGTTGTCGCAGCAATTGGGCTGCATGAGGCAGGCGGCGCACAGGAAGGTGATCAAGGCCAGTTGCACAGGCACAGCTGCTTTGGCGATGCGCCAAGTCCAGCTATTATGAGGATGCTTGTCGTCATCCTTGTCGTCTGCTTCGTCCATGTCGAACTCAAGATCTGGATCGTCTGCCGGGTCGCCAGAGTCTGGCGCACCAGCAGCCAGTTTGGTACCCACCACTTTACAAGTCGAAGCCGATGCGTTAGCTGATGTGGAGGCATTGCTGTTGTCGGCGTCTGTATTGGATCCGTTGGAATTCTTATTCTGCCTGCGACGTCCGTTTCTTCTGGGGGACGCATTTTCTTTAGCAGCACATTCCTGCTCTTTCGTTGCACTGCTTCTCCTGCCTCCTGCATGTCCGTTCGCCTTTACTATTTCACCGGCAGTATTTCGTACACTGCTATCCATTTCTTCTCCACCAGGTACTTGAAGTTGATGTGCTTCTGCTTGCTGTAGCTGCTGTTGGACTTTCTTATTTTGATGTGTAGCTGCTGTGCGCACAATTAAGTCGCGACAGGTGTTCTGCAAGTTCTTGAGCTCTGCCTCGGCGGACTCCATACGCACTGCAATGGACTTCATCGCTTCGCTGCCGGGGGCCAAAGCCAACTCCAACTGCTTTACTAGACGCCGCAAGACACCAAGTCGACGCTCACGCTCCGATAGCCCGCCATCAGAAGTGGCACCACCGTCGGAAATCCCTGAGTCTGAAAGCGAGCCGTTGGAAGCGGTGAATTTTGCAATGTGCAAGATATGGTTGGGATCCAGATGTTCCTGTACCGCAGTAAGCTGAGAAAAGCGATATATTAATAAAATTCGAGTCAACGTCACTAGAGGACGTACTTACCTGTTCTTGGCTAACATTTACGCGCTCTGAAAGTAGTTTGGCGACAACCTTAACATTCTGCGCCAGCTCTACTGGGCTGGCTTGGCCCTTGTCCAACGCACCCTCGAGCCCCTTTAATGTGCCGCGATCCTGGCCGAGCGCTTGCTGGAACTCATACAAGCCATTCTCCAACTGCCGCCAAGCGATCAGTGAATTCGTTAGCGTCTCCAGTTGAGTATTTATCCTAACGAAGACAAAGGCATAAAGAAATTACAATTAGTTTTTTATGATTGACTTAGGCTTCCACAGCAGATATATGTATCAGTGTGATACCTTGCGTCAGCATCGTCCCAGGCGCTGTACATGTCGCTCACTTCGTTCTTCAAATGTTTGTGGAATTCATTTTCCGAATTGATTAGTGTGTGTATATCCAACACTTTGGCACCCTTACCAGCGGTACTAGTGCCAATGGAAGTGGTCATAGTGGCGGTGCCAACGATTGCGTTATTTGCTGCCCCGTTGCCAAAATCGATTGCCACAGTTGTGGTATTTTCTTTAAGCGTTCCGGTTACATCACCTCCAGCGGCGAATGAATTGTTTCGATCGTCCGCGTGCTCAATGGCCACTTTTTCAGCAGCTGCTTTCAATTCCTCCTCCATTAATACATTCTGTAGGCGTCTTTCCTGGCGCGTTAGCCAACTGTGCACGCTGGCATTCAGGCGAAGCATATTTGTGCGGTAATTTTGCAACTCCGTTTTTTCACTCTACAAATACGCAAAAATAAGTCAGTACTCTTATTACATACATATGCTAGCCAGTGCGATTCGCTTACCTTTAGAGCCTCAATTGCGACTTGGATCTGTGGTTCTGTGTCCAATAGTTCAAATGTACTCTTGTTGCCCAACTTGTTCAGCGCGTGCTTGAGAATGATCATCTCCTCTTGCATTTTACGTGCGGATGCAGCATTTTCGCTCCAGCCCAATAGGTCCTCCCAAGCAGCTAATAAATCTGAAATTAAACAAAAAATGTACGTGCCAGTTTATTCATTTTATGAGTTCAGATGCCTCATGTCAAGCAACTATCCCATCAACTAAATGACCAGCGAAGCGCGTCGAAGTGAATAAAGTGATTCAACGGTTCTCCGACACGAAACTGTAACGCACCAGTTACGCTACCCACCGGACAGACTGCGGTGCTTAATGCTTAGGCAGTTAAACAAATTGGAAATTGTATTTGATTGTAGAGAAGAGTGTATTTAAAATTTAAAATATGCACATGCATACATTCTTATATATATACCCTGCAAAAGTCGCGACTACTCTATGCAAACATGTAAGGAGTACTACAAAACTAACCGAAATGCATATCAAAAATGTGGTCAAATTAACATTGCGATGTCCTAGGGCAGGACCATATACTGCAGCTCCGCATTACGTTAGAGCAGCACAAAACAACTCCATGGAGTAAACCGCCTACCTCGGCAACACAACACTCCAATAAACATAGTGGAGTGATTACGATCGTTAAAACACGATCAATGATCGGATAACAATAAGCAGGCATGGTCCAACGATATTTGCAGGGTACATACACATACATATCGTCGATGTTCCCATCGTCCAGTCTCACGGCGCTCAATTTTTACTGGAGAGCGAAAAAACAGTTGCCTTGAGAGGCGATATTTTCTGTAGCTATTATTTTATAAATTTCGATGCCTGGTGTTCAGGGTTACCAAATCTCATTTTTGTCACAACGGCGATTTAGGCGGTACTTGAACATTGGCAGATATTTACTTTCACACCATTACTATGGCAAACTGCCTTTAACCTGCTTTAGAGTATCTTCATCTGGCGAAGTTAAAACATCGCAGGTACTATCTGGGTTAAATTGCACTGCATACTTTCGCCTTTTAAAATTCATTCTAAAATCGGAAAATTTGGATTGCCTACCACAATAAACCCCGAAAATTAGATACACCTTTATTGATCTTAGCAACATGTTTTTAAGAGTGGTCTTAAAAATACAGTATGCAAATTTTTATATTTGTTTCTATACATAAAATGTATGTGGGACGTTCCTTTCGATGATGTTAAAACAAATTTTGAACATTTACAATAAATCAGTATTTTCACATATGTAGGTGGCTTACCATAAGTCCGCGTATGTTTTATTGTTTTCACATATTTCCCTTAATGTATAGATACACAAAAAAATATTTCTTCTTCTTATTCGAAATTAATTTTCTCTTTTCCCCTGGACACATAAAATATAATCAGTGTATTCATATAAACGCTTAAATGCCTCGTAACTGTGTAAACCTCGTAAATAAACGTTTAGATGAATTTATATAATATTTTTGTAATCCAAAGTATTTCCGAATAGAATCCCGTTTCGAAAACCGAGTGGTATCTAGTCACAAAAGTTAAGAGTTAAAACATGTACATACATGCATGGATATGTGGTTATGAATGCTGGCCCGTATGTAGTATATCTATGTAAATATGATTGTAAACTTGGTGCCTCTATTATTTAAATTATGGCGAGGGCCAAAATGAACAACTAAAATTCGATGAAACTCAGCGGGAAAAGTAGCGATTACGACCGCACCTTGCGAAAACCAAAAGCCCACTGGTAGCCTTTAATTCAGCTGCACTTGAATGGAGCTGTGTGCAGTCGATTGTGCAACGCACAACACCCTGTCGCCGCGCCCACCTGCATCTCTGGCCATGAAAACGACAAGCACTGGGCGAACACAGATTGCCAGCTGTAGGTATTGACGAAGAGAAGTGAGCCCAATGCCAAGTCGCTAACCAACCAGCAACCAAATTTGGTTGCTTGCTGGCGACATTGGAGCGCATTCGAGCAGGCATAGGCGGAGCAGGTAAGCAGGTAGGCAGCTAGGCGCGCACGTCGAACCCAGATGACGATTTGCACAGTTAAGTTAACTTAACAGGAATTTCGTTGGCGCTCACACAAGGCCACTGCCATACACGGGGTTCGATGCTCGCACGCATTTTCGTTTAATTGCCAGTTGTTGGTGCTGCTGCATGCCGCGCCAAACCGAACCAACGTTCATGCAGCGAAGAAATCGACACAGGGGGGAGAGAGGAAGAAAAAGGTAAGTTTTATTTATTTTTTTTTGCCGATTTTCGTGTAATTATTCGCGCCAGTGACTTCAGTTGACTCAATAGCGTGAAACGTAGCCATGTTGTTGTTGCTATTGTTGAAGTGGTTACTACTAATTGCAGCGCCAATGACGGTACCACAGAGTTGCTTGAAGGTTTTGATTAAAATGCTGCTCGTCTAATTGTGGGCTTTCTTTTCAATTCGGCCTCCTCTATATTGCAATAATTTGAATGCTCATTTAAGCAATAAATCAGGGTATAGTTATACATATCGTCACCTTAAATGCAAAAGGACGTAACAACATCGTAACTGGAATGGAAAAAGTCGGGACAAATATTTTTTATTTTCATAAAATGATGTGGGAGTTGTAATCCGATGAAATCCATCATATCAAAGTGTGAATTTTGAATATTTTATTAGTTACGACTTTTTGCATTACAGTGACGATGTTTGTTACCTCTTTTTGCATTTCAAGTGACTATAGGTGCGTTCGACAAGTCAAAAATTTGTAATAGTTTTTCCAAATTTTTACGGGATGGCGTTCGATAACGACAAAAAATTATCCCACACACAAAAATTGAGAGAGCAAGCGTTCATTTTGTACTGGCAAAATTTTAGTCAGCAAAAATTATCCAACACGAAAACATATGATCACAAAATATATGGTTGCAATTTTTGTAAACAAACAAAAATGCATTTTCCGAGTTTTGGTATTTATATGCTTTTTGGCTGCCTGCTATGTGACTTTATGATAGCGCCAAATAGTTTTTACTTCTAGAAGTGTTCCTGGCCAACATTGAACGTTCACTTTCCTTTTTTCTTCTATGGAGGCAACATGAATTTCAGTTTGTTTACAAATAAAACATAAACAAAGTCAGCAAAACATTTGAAGGACTGCCAGAGATTTAATTAAAAAAAATGGTGTGTCACACTTTGTTTGTTTTTGGTGTTATGCGCTGGCGTCACTGGGTATTTTTAAACGCTGACTTTCCCTTTGCGTAATTTCAAAATCCAAAGCTAGTGAACTCGTATCTGTTATGAGCGTCGATTTGCCAACGCACGGCTACGGAAGCTGTTCCGCTTGAGTCGGAAGTAAAAATCGGAGTATTTATCAGCAACAAACTCTGCCACGCCACCAGTACACACAAGGGAACACGATAAAAGACGCAGAGTTGTTGCAAGAAGCATCAATGGGCAAATTTATCAGTTTTGAGTTATTGGGTTGACTTGATTAACCTTTGGATGTTCTACGTTATACCAAAACCCAGAATACCATGCGTACACAGGGAAAGCACATATTTTATAATTTCACTTGCATAAATGTAGAGTTAAGTCTCGCAAAAAAAAAAAAACTTTCAAACTTGATTTCCCAAAATTTTCATTTTTAGACATTCATGTTTCTAGCATACGAGCGACGATATGTACATGCGTGCGTGCGTACATTTGTAGATATGGCTTGTTTATCAAAAGTCAATGCACTTTCTGCAAAATATATTGATGTTTGGCTTTTATAACATCTATGTAAATATGTATGATTAGCTAAGTGTGCGCTTACTAGATAGCAAGCAACAACTAGTTCAAGCAGATGCCTAAGCAGTTTGTAGTGTTATAACTAGGAAAACGTAAACAAACGTGAGTATTAGACAGCTTCATTATATGAACATACATACATACATATATATATATATATATATTTGTATTTGTATATGTATGTATGTACATCAATGCAATACCAACAAACATATGCGTGTATAGATGGCAGATTTGTAATTTCATTCACATTTGTGGTCTACTTCAAGGTTATTTGTTCATATTAGATTCATTATATTGTCATATATACATACATACATACATATATGTATATGTAGAAATGCGTGTTCTACATATGAAAATCAGATTTTCTGTTCGAGGAGAAACCCGTTTGTCAATTATATAAACTTTCGAATATATCGGCATTTAATTTTCAACGAACTGTGACTGTTCACTTTTTAATACAAAAACTGTTGAAATAGAACAAATCAAACGCGAATTTCGTTGTAAGCCGTCCGGCCGCCGAAAAAATCCGGGCCCGTTGCTAAATACAGCTATGGACATATAAATGGCACAATTGTTTAAGTTAATATTTTTAATAGCCAAATCTAAAAGTTTATTCCTCGCATCTAATAATTATACAAACTCAAGTTCGAATTCAAGAATAAAACCAAAAATTATGAAAATGTGAAAAAAGAGGGAAAATCGAGTTAAAGCTGTGTTTTTATCCAGATTTTTCTGTACAAACATTTCAATCGTTAATATTATGTACTGTAGAATTTATTTCTAATGACTGCTTTACATCTACGATTCATACTCTCGACGAGTTTTTGACAGTTGATTTTAGGTATGGCATACCAAGCTTCCTGAACGGCAGACCAAAGATAGTCCAAATATTTTTATTTTTTTATATTTTTTTTTGCAATTTCAATCTTGACTTCATTCCCTAGACATTTTGAAACACCACATGGAACCATATGCCTTCAATAGAATGCCAATTAAATTGAAATTCCTCTAAACTAGTCAAGCATTGGTTTAGTGCAGAGAAGATCGACGTTTTAGATTGGCCAGCCCAGAGCCAATTGAAAACCTATGTATTGAAAATTGTAGATTTTCCATTTACCCGTACGAGCGACCTTATGCCATGCCAGGAAAATGCACCCCCAACCATAATGTTTCCTCCCCCGTGCTTGGCCGTATTCTGGGTGAAAACTGGATGTTATTCTTGGCGTATGGGACGATGAACAAATATTATTCCATCTGGTCCTATCCTGTTGATTTCGTTTGGTCACTCCACAGCACGATTTTCCAAAAATATAGGCCTTTTTCTCTCTAATGGACTCTGGCGAAGT